TTCAACTCTTCTGTTCAGTATTTATCTCTTATATATTTTATTTTATTTTCTCTAAATCTTTCTAGATTTTTATGGATTAGATAGGAATAGCCCATGGACACAGATAGTAGTCTGGCAAAGGCCTGGAAGGGGCAGGTGCAGGGTGGAGAAGATCAATGAGAAACAAAAAACTAAAACAAAGAGACATCTGTAATTCTTTCAACAATATATATTTTAAATAAGGAAAATATCTTAGTTGAAAAGAGTTTTATGTGAAATAATACAAGTTATTGCTCTACAGTGTACTTTATAGTCTCAACTCCTCTCAAAGAGATATTAATTGATCTATGTTCACTGACTTCAGGACTGACTTCCGCCATGCCAACCCAGCACTGACTTCCACGGGAGCTGTGATCAGACCCTGCTTTTCTCTCTGAGCCTCTGTCCAGGCGTGATCGCAGCCCCCTCTGCAGTCAGTGCTGTGTCGCTGAGGCGCCCACAGCATTGACTACAGGATTGACTTCCGGTGTTCAGTTGAGACTTCGGTCATTTTGGACGTTACGGACCTTGGCTCTTTATATATATAAATATCAGATTCAGAGAAATGGAAGAATTTTTCCTGGATTACTTAGCTGATTAATGACATGGCAGATGGTCTCATTTTCTAGTTTAGTGCTCTAAGTTAACATCAAGCTGGTATTCTCAGCTTCTTTATTGGAGAAACCCCATGTAGCATCATATTTGTACTTATAAATTGTGTGCTATCCCTGATGTTGACACAATGAAGTTCAAGTGATAAAAATTTTCTTTAGACTTAAAAATTAGAAATGTGAATTTAAATTTTCAATCTTCTCTAATGAGATCTCCACATGTGATATGAACTCAGTGCCAGCCTACAATGAGTTTTAACTGGAATGTAGCAAAATAAAGACAGTGCCCTATGAAGGAGAGCGGGAGTTGGTATTAAGTTGCCATCTCTCCTTTCTTGGAAGGAACTCTACTATTGTTAAAATGCCCTTTTTTTATTACTAAAGTGACATAATTTTATGGTAGATTTTATTGTAAATTTTCTTACATATTTCTCTATTACTGTCCCCCAATTTTTAAAATTAAAGAGTTAAATTGAAAAGTAACTAGTTTTATGTCAAAAGGTTGAAACTGTATTAAGCAATATCGATTGTTAGATTTTATGTGCCCAACCTGACTTTGTAAACTTTATAGACAATATGTAAATAAAGAGCAGTCCTAATTTAATAGTTAGTAGGATATGATGGTAACAATTAGCATTAGTAACTGTAAAGATTTCTCTTAGCATTTTTCATATATGAAGGCATTTTTTACATTTAAATTTATTAGTACACATTAATTAAGCACATAGCTTTTCCTGAACACTGTGTTAACTTTGGGATAATTTTCTACTGGACCTGACAGATTGTGTTTCTTTTATTTTTTATGTATTTATCTTTTATTTATTGTTTTATTTTTCCCCATCACCATTTATCCCCTCCATGCCCTCTTTCATCTTCTCCCAACCTTCCTCCTAGCCCACAATCAACACAGTGTTGTCTGTGTCCAGGAGTTCGTTCTCTCTCTCTTTCTCTCTCTCTTTGCTTAATCCCTCTACTTTTTAGTCTGCGGTAGTCTGATAGTTGAAAATGGTTTTTCGGTTTCTTACATTTCCTTAATTATGACTAAAATTTTATTTTTCTAAATTTCTTGTTTGTGATATCTGCCCATTTTTATATTGAAACACTTGTCCATCTCTTATTGCTTAATAGAAACTAGCATTATGGGTATCAAACTGTTTTCCAAACTGTATGCTTCAGATATTCTTTTCCTTGTTTGTCTTGGTTATTTGACTTCCTTTATGTTGGATTTGCTTTGTTTTTATAATGTAGACTAGAGGCCTGGTGCACGAATTCGTGCACTGGAGGGGTGTCCCTCAGCCCAGCCTGCACCCTCTCCAATCTGGGACTCCTCAGGGGATGTCCAACTGCCCATTTAGGCCTGATCCCTAAACAGGCAGTCAGACATCCCTTTCACATTCCAGGACTGCTGGCTCCTAACCGCTTGCCTGCCTGCTGCCTGATTGCCCCTAATCACTTCTGCCTGCCAGCCTGATCGCCCCCTAACCTCTCCCCTGTTGGCCTGATTGCTGCCTAACTGCTCCCTTGGCAGCCCGATCACCCCCCAACGGCCCTCCCCTGCTGGCCTTGTCACCCCTAACTGCCCTCCCCTGCCAGCCTGGTCCTCCCCAACTGCCCTCTCCTACAGGCCCATTCACCCCCAACTGCCCTCCCCTGCCAGCCCAGTCGCCCCCAACTGCCCTCCCCTGCTGGCCTGTTTGCCCCCAATTGCCCTCCCCTGCAGGCCTGATTTTCCACAACTGCCCTCTGCTGAGGGCCATCTTGTTGTGGTCATCTTGTGATAACATGGGGGCAGCCATCTTGTGACAAAATAGGGGTGGCCATCTTGTGATAATGTGATGGAGAGAGGGCCACCTAGGCTTTTATTAGTATAGATTTTCTTAAGTTTGGGAAGGGAGTCTTATATTTTCCTTTATGGTTACTTGATTTTCTATCAGGTTGAGGAAGATCT